AATTATAATTACAGCCGATATTTAAATATTAATCTACCAAACTAAAGTGGGATTCTTGTCTTAAAAATTTTCTATTGCAATTACATGTTCTTTTCTCCTGGTACGAACAAATGTAATAAGATCTTTAATTGAGTTTTGATAATTTATTTATTTTATAAAAAGTTCATTGTTATAACATTATATTATAATTAATACATACGCATAATTTAATTAGTAAAATATATATATTTTTATTCAATAAATAACAAAAATTTTACTGAATTAAAATAAAATATTATGTAATTAATGTTTCGAATATTTGACCTTTTGTTTACGCACGTCTCGCTTCATTTTAATTATGAATTTTTATCCAACCCTAATGTCCATCCCTATATTAAACATGCCTTAAAACTTTATTATATGAATATTAACAATGTAGCCAAATTAAATTAATATTGGCTAATCTTACTTTAATTTTTATCAGGTGTGATATTTTTTTTTTATAATATATCAAATCGAATGAGAGTTTAGTATCACATTAATAATATATATAAAATAAATTTTGTATTATTTTTTTTAGGTACATTTAGTTTTTTTATTGCATATTTTGTTGTTAAATAAAATAAATTTTGTATATTTTTTTGGGTATATTTGTAGTTATTAAATAACTGATATATGAGTTGTGTCTATACCTAAATATATATATATATATAATAAAAAAAAAATGATTTACTGAAAATTGGAGATAAAATAGATAATATATAATAATATAATTAAGAGAAATTATATATTATAATACATATAAAATTCTCAATATATATTGAGCTACATTCATGTACAAGAAAAAAAAAATATTTCATAATTTTCCCCATGAAATATGATCAAATTAAAAAAAACATATCCAACTTTTTTTTAGCAGATGAAAAATCAAGAACAGAAGCAACAGAACAGATCATAATCGCCCATGAAATGAAAAAGGTAAACGAAAACCGAAAAACGAAAATGAAATCACCCCCCCGCAACATCCTCCTCCGCCATTAACATCCATCATTGATCACACCCCATTTATGCACACTCTGTCTCCTCCACCAAACACAGCACATGTACGGACAGACATGGTCGTCGTCTTTATCATGCAACAAAAATTGGAAACCAACACAGCAGGAAATGTTACAGTACTCTTCTGATTTTCTTCTTCTTGCTAACTTTTTCTGCTACTCTTATCTGTCTCTCTCTCTCTCTCTCTCTCTCTCTCTCTCTCTCTCTCTCTCTCTCTCTCTGGTTTATCTTGATTTATGCCTATAATTATTTCTGTAATGGTCAAAGTCGGTCAACCCCACCATTGATGAACTGCAACACCTTCGTCTCGGAGCTTTCCATACAGAGCCAAGCATTCCCAGTAAGCTCTGATTCTACTCTTACTCTTTCTTCCTCCGATTCCGAGACCCTTTGGCTTACACTCCAAGAAAAGCTCGTCAACCAATTTAATGGCTTTGCTTCTCACCATCTCCTCCACAACTTCTGCTTCTGCTTTCATCACCACGTACTCTTCTTCCTCAACGTTCTCTCTCAACCAATCCGACATCCCAATCTGAGGAACCTCCTTCCCCGACGACTCTGTCACAGTCTCAATCTTATACATTTCAAAATCGAGGTTCCTAGTCGGGTAATGCTCGGCGAACCACCCGGTGCCGCTGCCACCTTCTTTTTCCGGCAAGCCCACGTCGATGAAAACCCGACGTGGGTAACTTTCGAGGGAATCTCCCATTAAGTCCGGCAAGTACTTTGTTCGTTTCAGGTAAGTTCTGGATTTACCAGACGCTGCTCTCGGCGGCTCCAGCAGGACATCTTCGAGCTTCGTTAACGCCGCTTTCTTCGCTTCCGTCGCATACCCTAAAAGCCGTCTTCCCGGAAAAAGCTTCTCTCCGGGGAACGACGCCGTTTTCCTCATCGCCATTATCGTTGACTGGAACTGCCTGAGGTAAACTGTTTTGTAGTTTAATGGCTTCTCGAACGCCAAGGCGGGATTCTCGTTGAGCTGAACGGCAACGATCCCGTTGATTTTCAGAGTTCTGTCGATGAAATCTCCGGTGGCGTGGAAGCTGTGGGTGAAGATGAAATGAAAAGATTCACTGGGGACGGAGCTTTGACGCTCGATGTCTGAAACAGAGATCAGATCCATTTCGTTCTCGGTTAAAATACCAGAAGTTAAAACATCATTTTCGTCGCCATTGTTGCTGAGAAACAGAGCTTTATCTCCCGTCTTCAACAGTCCTTCGTTTTTTAGATCAAGGAAGAGAGGTTTCAAGAGTTCGACATTTGTGGGATCTGCAGGGCCAACATCATTAGAGCTCACAGGAAGATGATCAACGTTCAAGGACACATTGCCATTTCTGAACCTCAACCAAGGGAAAGAAACAATAAACAATGCCAAAAGCATGGATCGAGCAAGAAGCTTGAGAATCCGATAATCAGGAAGCCTGATAATCAAATAAGTATTGGTATGTAAACCAATACTACCATCCTGCAAGTGTTTTACCTTTCGATTCGCACGGAATCCTTGAACAATTTGAATCGCCATGATCAAATCAACGTGTAGAAATCTCAAATCAACAATAAATTTTTTAAGGCTAAAAGATCAGAATTCAGAGGTGGGTTTAGGAAAAAAAAAACAACAAAGAAAACAGAGATAGGAAAAAAAGAAGGAAGCGAAATTCAAGGAAATTGAGAGAAAGAAGGAGATAGAAAGAAGGAGAAGCGGGAACAGAAGGAATCTTAGCGGGTACAAAACCTGGCGGCAGTGTGATTACCACCCACGAGAGCTACACGGGAACTCTGCAATTTAGACCATAATAACATCAACTGCCTAATCCTCTGCACCTCCATGCTTTTACGTTTGACCCCAGATCGATTTTTCTTCGTTAGATCTTCCTGGATCCTGTCATGATCATTGAAATCGACGATTTTAGCAACACGTTACAGGAATAACATGTGCTTAGATCAAGTATCATCGATCAAAGAAACATGGAGGGAGGGATTGTAGAACAGATGAAAAAGAATAAAGAAGAAACAGAGAACGAGATCTCTTTGTTTGATGGTGGATGGGGCGGTGACTGTGGGGGAGGGAGAAATGAATATATGGAGAATGAATGAAGAGATGTTAATGGTGACACGAGAAATCAGTTTAGCCATTTGCATGGGAGTGGAATTCTCCATTGAAACCGCTGTATATGCGTTTGTTGTAACGTACGCGAGTTTTAGGTGTCGTTTTGGACATTACTGTTGACTCGTCGTCTATTTTTGGTTGCTTTTATTTTTATGTTTTAATTAATATTTTTCTTATCTATTTTCAGATTTTATTAGTACTAACTAATTAAGGGATCGTTTGGATTAACCTTATATTTAGACAGTAGTTATATCTACATATCTATGTTTTGTTTAAATTGTGGAAAAATAATAATTATATAATGACAAAGAATAATAATTTTATGATAGAATGTTAAATTTTGAAAAGCAAGACTTAGATGCAAATTATAATTTTAGAAAAAATTAAATGTAA